ACAGTGAATTCTACATAATAGCACACATACATCACTCACTCAGATGTCTGTTCATGTTGTGATGTGCTCATCTGCAATTCTTTTAGAACATTTTCCTGTCAGATATTAAATAGACATTTAGTAATCGTCATTAAGATGTATATGATATATGTAAATTCACTTTGGTGACGTACGTGTGCTTACTGGAGCTCCCCTGTTCACAATACGTAATAAAACGAGTTTTTACTGCAAAATCACAAATATACTATACTGCCTAGCATCTTACACCCTCAACAATTGAACAGTTTACTCTACAGTAGCTTAACAAATGCGATTTTAATACAGAGAACCCTGTATTTGATTTCTAATACTCACATTTGTAAACACCCTCGTCGCTGCTCTCCATCACGGTCGATGATGACGTATCCTCTCGCGTGGCCTCCTGGGATAGAAAAGTATCCATCGATGAGCACTTCAGAATCTGGGCTGAAGCAGTAGGACATCCGGGGATTTCTCGCCTACTCTTTTATGAATATTGAGGTTTCGGACATACTACTTTCTTCACATACTCTTTTCTCGTACTATATAGTAGGTAAATAGGCATATTCGGACGCACTTCAAGTAGATGTATAGATCTGGAACTTCTTTAAGTTCATAAACTTTTCTATACCCCTGTGATTATATAATGGTAAATATTACAATATCATAGCACAACAACAGTGATCAGCAATAATGATAAGCCGAATACTCACAATAAAAATAATAAGGTCATATAGATCATAACACAGTCTCGGAGGTAAGAAGTGGATTATCCTTCACCTGAAATGTTTGTCTTTTCATCCTGAAATGCGAGGTTAATGTGGAATCACAATAATTAGGAACCACAGTTTCCACAAATCCCTTTACTCGAATTGGGATGTTCTCTTTTATTCTGGATGGTAAGGGCAGTGACTGTTACATTGAGCATATTTTGCAGTATTAAACACGTATTTATACCGATTTCATTCTTCAAAAAGAACACAAAGAATGGCCTTCTCAGCTGCCATAGTTGCAACTCTTATGTCATCAGAACAGAGTGTTCAACGCACCACCGTTTCCGTTTAAAAAACGTTTTGCACCATTTTGTCATGGCTGAACGCAGGCCTGGTCTTTACTGAGTAATTAAAGACAGCTCCTTAGCTCTTCATTTTACCTCTGTTGTGCTTGGCCGCTTAATTAACCAAATAAATGTATGGGGACACAGAGCACAGTTCCTGTTTCAGATGGCAGCTGTTGATCCTAAAGAGGTACAACCTTAGGGGCATGACAGTCATGAATTTAACAGCCGTCGTAATTCCCATTTCCCTCTGGCATACACATTATTTCACATGGAAGATTAATATGGAAGATAAAGCATAAGACCACAAAAGTGGTTCATATGACTTGTGGTCTATGTTTCATGTCTTCTGGGGTCATATGATATATTTGTGCTATGAGCAGATGGAAATTTAAGTCGTTATTTACTCAAACCTCATCTGGCCTGGTTCATGTCCTAATTATATAATTACATACATTTAAGTACTGTGTAATATTATTTACACAATATGTGCATACTGTAGGGTTAGGAATAGGGTTTTAGAACAGTCTAACCACCCATGCAGGCCCTGTCCACACGAACGCGGTTATTTTTAAAACCGCAGCTTTTTCTATGCGGTTTGACCGTCCACACGCAAACGCAGCACCAGGTCACTGAAACCGAACATTTTTGAAAACTCCTGCCAGGGTGAAGATTTTCAAAAACTCCGGTTTCAGTGTTATCGTGTAGACAGCGAAACCGGAGTTTTTGGCTTGTGACGTCAGAGCCTGCGCTGTTATCTCCGCCTACTGGAAACTTTTTCAGGCTTCTGATTGGCCAGCATGGCTTTACGGTTGAGATTATATCACCACCTGTTGGTTTGGCATGCTCTTGACAGTGCTTCATAGCATGTGTTTGCGTTTTCATGTAGACAGAGATTTTTTTTTAAACGGAAGAAGGAAAAACTATTTTTAAGTTTATAAAAATACCCGTGTACGTATGGACATGGCCCCAGAATACCTCAAACATCTATTTTGTAATATCGAGAGAGAGAGAGAGAGAGAGAGAGAGGGAGAGAGAATCATTTAATAGGAAATAAGTCACCTGATATTTTGGCTGCTGTGAATATAGTCGTGCTGTTTATTCTTATCACTAAGGTCACATGGTGACCCTGAAGTTCTGTAAAACTGACAGGAACATGGTTTAGGCTCTTATGTGTGTTTACTCCCTCCCAATTACAAATATGTAAATCAGTTAATTGGAAAGACTGCTGTTGGCAAGGAGACAGCGAAGGATGGTATGAGATACAGCCAGAAGTGTTTTAAAAATAGAGTGTTTTCCCCCTTGCTTTACCTTTTTTTGGCCTAGATTACATGGAGATATATTATGTCAAAATAATTATGTACAAATCACCTGTGGCCTTGAAATGTTTTTCTATTTTTGGTGACAGTGGTAACGTCCTAAAATTGCTCATGGGGTGAAAGTCGTCCAGTCACACATGTACTTTTTGTTGAGACATGTTCTTTTCAGTGGTACAAAAATAACCATCTTTAAAATAAAAATATTTTTTTCTTTATTCTGGAAACTAAGAGGGCAGGATTCAAAGTGTGTTATATTCATAAAAAAATTCTTTTTCAGGGAAAAGGGAGGTCTAACTTTCTGTCTGCTGTGCTGCTATGTGAAGGATGGCTCAAGCTGGATTTAGGTGAATTGCACAAAAACATTTCTGAGTCATATTTGACCCAAACATCAAAAGCAAAGAACATGAGATATTAAATTCTGCCTTAATAAATCACATGATATTTTAGGACCATTCCTATTTGTTTTGCACTGTGTTATAATTCAGACAAAAAGATTAACATCATATACTAATGAAAAGATCATGGTTGACAAATCTGCAGTTGTCCACAGAATGGGGCTATTTTTAAACTCTTGCGGCGGATTGATTTTTTCCTCACTGTTTAAAGCTTTGAAATACTGAATAAATTGTATTTATTTAATAAATTCAATATGTCCCCCACCTACCATCTGGTTATTGATATGGTCACTGTATAAATTTAATAAAGCAAGGAAATTACTCAACATAACATTTAATTTTTCACGATTTACAGTTAAAAGGGCAGATGTGTGTTCTTATGATAGTGTGATCAGGGCTGAGTTCACAGGAACTGAATGTTCTCTGAGAGAACAGCAGAAGATCTCTTCCTCCTACAGCTGCCTCATGGATTATTCTCCAGGCCATCAACTCACGTCCACAGACTGAAATTAGCACAGGGATTGCAAACATTTTAGAGAGAGAGAAAAAACACTAAAATCAAACTACATAACCTAAGTTGACCAAAGTAACCCTTACAAAAAAGTACAGGGATTAGTTTCATAATAAAACATAACTGCTATTAGATTTTTAAGATCTTGATTAGCTTTTTAAGTCTGTTTAACTATGATTGAAACTGAACTCTGCAAGATTGGCGTTAAAGTCAATCTAAAATCAAACTTGACCCTGTTTGTTTCCTTAATGCATGATTTTATGATTTCAATTTACCTTTTTTAGTATATATACAGTATATATTTTGGACCTTGTGATCTTTGATCAACATTTTGTAACTTTTCCTGTGATATGACTAATTCCTTTCTGATGACCTATGAAAGGCCATGCTGCAGTTAATCCATTTGCATTCAAATCTGCCTCCATTCTAGTACACAATTCTTAAATTTTTCAGTCAACAGCAGATGAATAAAATCCAGTCCCACCCTATTTTTCCCATTTGATAAGCGGTTTCATTTGGAAATATATGTCACAATATGGATGTAAATAGCAATTCTACAGAGCCCTGCGTTAATGTTTTTCCGTTGTGTTTTGTTAAATAAAAGACTGTTGAACTGGCTGCTCTCAGTCCCCGCTTCCTTTTTCCCAAGTACCATTTTCTCCCAACATGCTAGAGTGATGCTGAAACCCGGGAAAAGGAAGACTCTGCCATGGAACCTGCACAGCTGTCCAAAATGATGAAATCCTGGGGCCACAGGATGACCCTGAGGCATCCCTCTATCTTTTTGAGAGAACAGCGGAGGTGTGCAATTGTTCAGAGCAGGAGCATTGGGTATTTCCCCATCCCCTCCCTTCCTTCCAGTTTCCTTGCTAAATGATGCCACCCTTATAGCAGAGAAGACTGAATCAGTCTGAAGATTGAAATTTATAAAGCTACGAGAATGCTTTTTGTTCACAAATAAAACAAAAATAACGACTTTATTCAAAATTTCTTCTCTTCTGGTCAGTCTCAGGTCATATTTGCAATGCCTCCGGGCAGCTATTTCGAGCATCCAAGACCAAGTCCTATCTAAATGAATGGGGGAATCCTGAAATCTCAAAAACTGCTGCTGAACTCACAATTAATTTACATATTTTAAATCAGCAACAAAATCTGAAATGAACTGCCCCATAAAAACAGCAAGAATGAAATCCAATATGCCCTAGATCTGAGGGGAAAACCACACTTTGAAGCAGTAAAAACATGAGAATTTGCTCCAGGCTCAAGATCCCTGTCCCCAGCTACCCCCGTCTCCTTATCCCAGATCCGGTTGCAAAAGGAGTTTGCGGAGGTGTTCTCTACCTATAGCTTCTACTATCCAGTCATACCAACCTCATACAACATACGATAGTTTTGATGCCTAAAACTGACGGCTCAATGCGGTTCTGTGTGGATTATCACAAACTAAAGGTAGTGTCAAAATTCTATGTGTATGCCCTTAAGATGACAATTTGCTTGATCGTTTGCCTGTAGCTAGCTTTTACTTGAGACTGGATTTAAAACCATCAATGTGTGATTCTTCCATTTGGTTTCAGATACTTTCCAGCAGCGTTTGGTCTGGAAACTCCAACCACACATTGAGTATGCCACTGCCTATCTTGATGATAAAGTCAATGCAGAGGGTGGGACTCTGGAAGTGTACAACTGGACAGGTGGAAGTTCGGTATCAGGGCTTCCACTTGGGTTATGGGTCCCCAAATTAATAAGACTGCAACCATTTGCAGCCATTTGGCCAGGCATTCAAATAATGCATCTCATAATCGACAAGTTCTGCTCACGTATTTGAAGGTTTCTATTGGATGATTTAGGGTAAACGTCATATTATGCGACTACGCATTACTTTATGGAGAGCTTACGAACTACTACCTACGTCCTGCCTTGCGAACAACTGGTGCAACCAAATAATGTATAGATTTAATTACAAACTAGCTAGTGGTTACTAGGCCTCTAGTGTGGACTTAACGTTCTAATTTAAGTAAGAACTTACGATTGGCTGGTGCAACCCTACCCTGGTCCATTGGATAGAGCTTTGTG